GGTATCTATTGATTTCTTTACTAAAGAAACTGACTTTTATATTCGATCTACTTTTCTTATTTGTATATCTTTTACTTTATCTGAAAGTTATTAATTTAAATTATCCTTTATTTTGGATTCTGAAGTAATTTTATCTGTTCAAGTAATGCTTTTTTCCATAAAATAACTTGTTCACATTTTGGTTTTTATATTAATTCTTTAAATGCTAAAATGAACTGAATTAAAATATTAGCCGTAAGTATTTGTGCCTTTATAGTAAGAGATATTTTAAATCTTTTTGTAATTTGCTTTATTCAATATTATATAATCTGGATATTTTTTTTCGTAGATATTATAATAATTATCCAGATTATATAACCTTATATAATTAGAAAAATGAATATCAATACAACATTTTAGTAGAGTTAAAAATTTATTTAATAATAATATAAGTAATTTGTTATATTTAAGAAAGAAATCAGCATTTAATGAAAGAAATTTAATAATGCTAATTTATACAAATTATTACTAAAAATGGCTAATACACAGTTTTTGTTAAGATGACGTCTTCTCAAATAATTAAATGCTGAATGCGATAATGGATAATGTCAATTTTAGCCAAGCCACTCATGAAGTTTAACGTCATCAAAGTTCAAACTCTTTGACTTTACTCTGGAAGAACGTATCATTCCAGCTGTAAATTTAATAAGTTTATGCGTTAAGTAAAATATTTTGACCTGTATTTTATTTTTATTTAGTTTTATTTAATTTATAAATTTTAGTTTATAATTTATTTATTGGTAATTTTCTTGTTTCTTAATAGTGAAAATATATTTATCTTTTCTATTTATTTTAGTTATTTAGGTTTATAATTAGAAGTTTTAGTAGTCTTAGTATGGCTTTAATAATATTCCTTTTATTTTTTTTTTTTGTAGATTTTATTTTTTTGGACTTGAGTGCTTTAAAATTCTTGGAAAGGTAAGTAAACATACTTTTTTTAGTAAAAATTATTATTAGTTACTAATATTCCTTTTATTTTTTTTTTGTAGATTTTATTCCATACGTCTTAAATTTTGGATTACTTTAAAGTAACTATATAAATAGATTTTTTTAAGGCTGTTAATAAAAATTTTTAGTTACTAATATGTTTGTTTTTTTTTAGTAAATCTCAATTTTAGGTATCTTAGGACTCTGGCATGTAAATAGTTTTTTTATATTTAAGGATATTAATAAATCATTTTTTTTCGTTAATTTAATAGGTTTTGGTTCTTTTCTTTATAAATTATAAAAAAATAGTGTTTTTTAAAGAATTAAATAGTTTCTATTAGTAGTATTTATGTACATATACCATAATATTAATCTTGTAAATATCCCTCTCAGCCAGAAAAATTATTTTATACTATTTTTTTTTAGTTTATTGAAAAAAACTTATAATAAAGTAAGAATATAACATTCTAAAAAATAGTTTTTTTATTAATACAAAACCCATAAATTTAATTATAGAATTTTAATAATTTTATCCTGCTGAGTGGTGATCTTTCTCTTAAATATAAAAATATTTAATTTAATAAAATGTTATAGAAAGAAAACTTACTTGTATATAAGTTATTATAATTCCAGCATTATTTAAAGTATTTAATGCTTTTAAAGATAATTTACAAGTATTTAAATATATTTCTAATTCAATTTTAAAAGTATTTATTTGCATATTTTGAATACTAGTTATAAGATATAATATTGTAATTAAAATTGCTATGAATCGCTGGAGGCGATCATTGCCGGTGTCACGTGATTTTTAATAATGTATTATTTGTCACCCCGCGTCACACCTCCTTGTTTCCGTTTTTACTATGTATTCCAGGGACTTAGAATTTTTTTAGTATAAAAAATACTATATGTCATCCTTATTCGTCACATCCATAATTCCAGCCAAATTTTATAATTCCGGTCAAAATATCCTTTTTTGGAAACTTGAGTAACGTTACACAATCCAAAAAAGGCAATTTTGTTTCTCATAAAATCGGGAAATGAGTTACACAATATTCCAAAAAAGGCAATTTCTATGTCGATCATTTAATTCCGGCCAAAATTAAAAAATCACGTGACCCCGGCGATGATCGCTGCCGGCGATAAATAGCAAACTCCTATTGTAATAACTTCTTTTTATTTTTCCACTTTTTGGCTTTTTTTTCAATCTTTAGGTAAAAATATATTACAAATTTATTTAAAAAATTATTAAGATCTTCATTTCTTTCAGTAAAATGATAATCGAATTCTTCAAGATTAAGAATAAGACCCATAGATTTTTTATGCTGCATTTAATAAAAATTGTAGTCATTTTTTAAAACTTAGAAGCTAAAAATATTCCTTCAGAAAATAATTTAGGTTATGACTCATTTTCATTATTCTGATAGTTTATTTTATTATAACCTTCTATAATAGATATATAATGAGAAAAACAAATTGTATCATGTAATTTTAAATATAGATATATGGTTAATATTTCATAATCTTTAGCTTTATTATAAGCCAATTCTATTAATGTTTGAAAACTTAAAGAATTTTTTGTATTTTGGGAAATTTTTTTATTAATCTTAAAAAATAAAATAAAAAAAAACTGTCACTATAAAACCTGTAATCACGTGATAAAATTTCAACCAATAAAATTGACTATTCCTAAATTCCAACCACATATTAATAACCAAACTTGATCAATGCAGCCAATTATTAGGACTTTTATCTATGTATAAAATAAATGTATTGTAAAAATAGTGTTCGAAAAGTATACCATAAAAGGAAATTCGGACTGCCAATCAAAATGATCTGCATCTGAGAGTAGTGTGGTGATCCAAATGATGGTTTTCATCCAGATCGAAGCACTAGTTGTACAAAATAGTCAAGATAGTCCGATTCAGTGAAAATTATATATACTAGTAATAATGGTACATTAAGCTGGTAATACAATACTCACAATTAGTAATTTATCTCTCATTTCATAAAAAAAAAACTCATTTATGAAATAGGCAAGTAGCCTAGTACATCCCTATAAAAAAAGTTAAATTTGTGCCAAATGGACTAATCATACAATATTTATTCGAAATTTGTACTAAAAAATAATATAAAATTTGAACAAATTCTAAACAAATATCATATGATTAACCCATTTGGCACAAATTTAACACAAATTTTTTTTATAGGGCATAAGTCATTACATTTCCATACTTAATCAAATACAACCTCGTACGACCGAAAAATTTGCGTAACTGTTAATTCACTTTTTTATAAATACCCTGAGAGAATCAAAATTCTAATGAGTAAAAATAAAACCGTACTAATTATTTTTTTTGTGTGCTGATCATATTACCACTGATCAAGAGTCTATTTTATTATTAATCATTTGATGAATTCGGAAAGAATTTTACAAGTAAATATATATCCTCAAAATTTCTCTCACACTAAAAAACACCTAAAATTCTTTTTTTTACAGAATTATCTCCCAAATGAAATGATGGTATCAATAAATTGTTTACTCCTAGGAATGACTTCTTTTGTTGATACTTTTGTGGTTAACGTTATTAAAGAAAGCGACATTCATGGTTCTTTGGTCAAATTTGATGATTTAAAGATTTCAGACCTCAAGTTTCTTGTCTATAATGAGATTAATCATGATATTAAGTTTAATTATAAGTACATTGACCTTTGGAAGGTTGACATAACTTACGGTGAAAGAGACAAACTTAAACATGTTACTACCAAAGATGATATTATAGAAAAATTTGGAGGCGAGCAGTTGATACCCATATTCTTGGTTAAGAAAGTTTTTTTTGAACAATTGCTTGTAGATGAGAATATTCACGTCATCGTACAATTGCCCGCTGCTGCTGGTAAGTGTCTCTTAATGTTTTACCAATCGAACAAGAAATAGATTATATCATTTACATTCATTTCTTTGCCTGATTTTTTTTTTGATTAGCATCTCTTTTATTTAAGGAAATTATTGAGGTTATTAAAATCAATGCATTAAAGGGTACACCTAATTTGCCTGATGTATTAAGCATGCCATTGCAACAACGTAACTTCAAAGGGTCAATGAGTTATGTAAATGAGACAATATACAATAATATTACGGGCCGAGATGGAAAATCGAACTACTGGGTTCTTGTCAGTGGAGGAGCCCCGGGGATATGTATTGTTTCTTTGTACTTTTCCTAGTAAACAATTTGTATCAGTTACTCATTATCTTGTAAATAGGTAAAACTCGATTTGGGCAGGAGATTTTTAATCAAGTCAAAAAAGACATGCCTCAATATATTCAGAATATTTACAATGATCGTAAAATTCCTCATGACAGAAGAAGAACTGACACACATTTTGAATACTTATGTATTGACTTCGGAAATGGTCACAGAAGGACCCCGGATATCTCCAAAACAGGCCATAAGTCACACTTTCGGCAGATTGGCCCATTTTTCAGGGCTCAAAAAATCTTTTTTGTAAATATCTCGGCATCCAGTGGTCCAATTTTGATGAACTATTTTTTAAATTGTAGAGCTAAATGAGGGCTACAAAATAAAAAAAAGTTCATTAAAATTGAATTACTGGATGCTGAGATATTTACAAAAAACGATTTTTTGAGTTTCAGCAAAAAGGGGTGTTTTTGGCCAAAAGTCCATTATGACCTTTATATTAGATATCCGGGGTCCTGTCACAGACTTACTTGACAAGATTATGGCATAGATGCATCAATAATTATCGGCTTACGAATTGCGCATGCGTTTTTTATTGAAAAAGAATATGGAATGATGTTTCAAGAATTCTGCATCATACTTGAACAATATAGGGACAGCTTTAATAATTTTCATTTTAATGTTGCTATCGGAGAAATTCGCAAAGCCCTAAATCTATTTGATAAACACTTATTTTTCCTATATCTTCATATTGATGAATTTCAACTTATTGATTCATGGGATAAAAAGGATAAGTCGAATCCACCAACAAAACTCTTCTATAATATGATCCATAATATTTCAGAATTTATGCTTAAATCCGCTTTACCCGCCTTTGTCCAACCATTCCTTTCAGGGACCGCTCCACTGGCTGTCATTGAACAAAAAGAAGCTTCAAGAATTTCATTTGTGTTTGTTGATTGTCCATTATTGAACGATCAATCCATTATTCGGATTACAGATCATTTTGCAGAAAAATTCAATGCGGGAATTGCAAACTATGCATATAAATGGAAATATTGTCGTCAAATGCTTCAGCTTCTGAGGGATACTGGTGGGTTGCCACGCGCACTTCAACGACTCTTTATCATCTGCTTTGGAGCAGATGGTAAACAGGGGAGAGAATTTTTTAAGAAACTTGAAAAAAAAGATATTAAGTTTGTGGACTATTTCATCAAAGTCAAGGACAGTCTTGATAAACAGTATGGCATAAAAGACTATGTTGAAAACAACAGAAATGTTGCTATGAAGCTCATATATTTTTGCATTGAAGGTATTGCCATTGACACTAATAAATGTTTGGATGATAATAATCCAGCTCTTACAATCAGAAGCCTAGAACGTGATAAACATATTATTCTCTCCTCTGTTGAACAATCTGATGGATGCAATTTGTTCCTTATTAATATGCCCTTTTATTTTATCTGTTTATATAATGACGTTCTGTGTATTGTTAAACCTACACTTGTTCACTTGTTCTATGATGAACGCATGTATTGGAAAGAATGGGAGGTGTTTGTGGCATACCATGAAGCATTTCATACTAATCTGGCGATAAAAATGGGAAAGACTACAATGACATTACGAGAATTATATCCTAATGCTGATAAGTTGGATGTTAACTTTGATGTGAGCGTAGAATTGAAACCTCTTCGTGTATGTAAAGCAAATGAACAATTTCCACACACTAATCCATTAACAGAAAAACATGATGGTAAAATAATAGACTGGCAGAGTGGTAATGTAGTAGTTATCAATGGTAGTAGTGCTCCGTTTGCTGACGTATTTCTTGTCAGAAAACTTGTGCATATTGAATTTAAAAAATTCCTAATGTTGAACCAGTGCAAATGGGATTACGTTTCAAAAAAGATGCCCGAAAGTAAAGTTGAAGAAGAAGATGAGAAAAATCTAAAGAGTTTTTATACTGCTGTTGATGATGATGATGATAATTATATTCTTATTACAATTATTTTTACTTCGCAACCATATAAGAAGGAAAAGCATGAATCAGGTATTTTGGTAATTTCAAAAGAGGATTTTAAAAAACACTTTGGACCTGTTTTTTCCTCTTGGGCATCATTTGCCATTACCAGAGATGCAAATCCCAACTTTTGGAAAAAAAATAGGTTGAAAAATGTTCTTAACGGTATTGGCGATGCCTTGATTGATAATGTAATCAAAAAGTGGCCATATTATAGCGATGAAGATTATTATATCAAAAATCCAGGAGCTAAAAAAATGCCAAAAATGGATTATTTCCCATTTGACGTACAAAAAATGGATTATTTCCCATTTGACGTACAAAAAATGAATTATTTCCCATTTGACGTACAAAAAATGGATTATTTTCCATTTGACGTGTCAGAAATTTTAGATATCGAAAACCGATGATTGATGTGAACCAACAACTCTAACAAATGAGATGATGCAATGACAAACACACACGCGGGTTACCAAAGGGTTCATACTAATAGTAATCATGTACACCTTGTATATTAAACTATTAAAAAATAAGATTTTTTTGCATTTACGAAAAATTTATTTGATGATTTATAAATGTTAATTTTAAATATGAAAACCCGTGACATTTTGACTATGTCTCAATGACATTCCATATTTCTTAAAATCCCATCCGCTTAGCTTGAGAAATGAATCACCACCAAAAAATGAGCATCCTTATCCTGAACCACAGTCCAGATGCTTATCCTGGGCCTTGAATTTGATTGGGCAAAAATTGTTATATTTTTGGAATGATCTTACCACACCACTTCGTAAAGGCGTAAAAGTATCGGACTTGACTCATCTGGGGGTGTCATCTTGACCCGCTATATGCACGTTGTCGATCACATATATTTTACAATACTCCATGTATAGGATTGACAACATGCATGCAGAAGAGTCAAGTTAGCACCACGTCGCGGATCAAGTCTGATACTTTTGCCGTAAAGGCACCTCATTCAACCGCCGATCATGACTTATAAAAGGCTGAAAGATCAGACCAAAACCCCTCTAGTTAGTCATAATTAATATTAAAATTTTATATAGATATTAGAAATTTTATTACTACAGATAGTATTCATTTGAGTCATAATATATCACATTTATTTGGCGCTCGTGATGATAATGTAGAAGAGGCTCAATCATATGATATTACTAAAAAAAATAGATCTTTAATAGCATTTTATAATTCACAATTCAACTCTGTAGTTATTGGAAAAATTTAAGGAATAGACAAAGCATAACGACCTGTTATTAAACATTTTCATGTTGATATGTCTCAATGTACCAATATATATACTTATATATATCAATGTATGGAATATGGTTGCGTTGCTAATGCAGCATTATCAGCACGCTCACTTTGTACTTTTTCTGCTGATTGGGAATGTTTAGTACCATTGTTAACTGAATCTCAATTTACGTCTAATCTAATATTTTTGATATTTTTGATTTTGCAAAAAAGAAATATGATATTATACAACTAGCATTAACGCAAAATCACGTGATTTCTCCACAATTACAATTACAAGATAATATAATTTTAGATTTATTAGATTCTTCAACTTCAAGAAATGACTTGTTAACTATACAACGAACATTAGCTCCTTTTGACAATAATAATTATTATATTTTTGAATTTTACACTGATGGATCATTAATAGATTTAGGTACTGAACAATGTAGTATTAGTTGTGCTTTCGCTCAGATTAGTGATTTGTTTGATATACCTCATGTTGAATTTTATTCTACTGTTGATAAATGGCCTTCTGCGTATAGAGGAGAATTATTAGCTATTCTTTTAGCATTAAGCGTTGTTCCAAAAAATAGTAAAGTTAGAATTAACACTGATTCACTTAACGTGATTACTCAATTTGAAAAATTAAAGAAATCAAGATTTTCTCTAACCTCACGTGAATACTTTAAGGCTAATAATAACTTCTTATGGGATGTTTTATGTAGAATTATATTAACATTGAACTTGCATGTGAAAATGTTTAAAGTTGTTGCTCATGGTGATGATATGGATAATAATTATGTAGATAATTTGGCCAAAATTACACATACTGATCAGGATCGCTATATAGTCTTTCGATGGGACGCTTGTATGATGAAAGTTTTTTCTTGTTGAAATGGAATTATTATTGAAAATAAGCTGCGCTCATTTTTGAAAAATATTTGCAACTACAAAGGATTAGAGAAATTATTAATTTAAATAGAAATTCTAAATATCGTATGTTAGAAGTTAACTGGACATCCACATTTAGTTGTTTAAATTGTGATATAAATAACAATGAAACTTCTGTTTCTTCTTCTAAAATGAAAGCTCAAAAAGTTCATTTATTAATTGAAGAAATTCCTACAATTGAACAGATGAAGAAATCATTGCTTGACTTGTATGATGGATGGATGTGCCCTATATGTGGATTGCATGACGAAACCTTTAATCACGTATGGACGTGTAGTGGTCATTATGATATCATTCACAATATTAGAGATAAAACTGTTAATCATCTCTTGACTTGGACATTAGAATATAATGATAATATACAAGATTTCAATGCTTTCATGGCACTTGATATTTGGGATATATCTTATGATCCTAACGTGTTTACTTTTATCGATCTTATTAAAGGAATTATACCTATGTCACTTTCAGATTTGTTGAGTTCTTGAACTACAAAGAAAAAAGTTGTTGATGTTTTAGTTCAAATAAGGCAGTTTATTTTTAACGAGATATTTGAAGAAGTTTGGATTCCAATGTGTTCGCATTTGAAGGAATTTGAACATTCTATGAGTTTAACTAAAAAGAAAAAATTAGAATTCAAAAGCGTTCGTTCGTTACCTAGTAAGGCCGCACCAATTCAATTTTTCGTTTAACATAACCCCCTCCCCCCTGTTTTTGGATTTTTTATGTAAAAAAAATACATGTAATTTAGGCCGGAATTATACAAATCTTTAAGTATTGGCCGGAATTATCATCCAAAATTTTTGCTCACTCTTTTGGTCAAAATTTTGGCCAATATTAATGGTAATTCTGGTTATGTATTGTATTTTATATATTATTTTTTGTCCTCCCCCCCCCCTAGATTGGGGCCCCTATGTTATGTTAAACAAAGAATTGGCTTGGAGCAGCCTAATAATAGTAGTAATAATAATATTATTCATTATGATTCTTTAGATAGTGTTAGGAATTACATTTATTTTGGTAAAAATATAATAGAATTTTATACTAATCTTACTTCGTAGTGCCACTGTAGATTTTAGTAGTTTGATTTATATAATTTTATAGGTCAATTTTACTTTCTTCTGCAGGGTGGACTTCAACTTACCAAGTTTCGGCTAATGTATGGGAGGTAGTGGGTTAATTAAAGAAATGGTTTTTAGATGTAGTTGGTTATATCTTTAATAGTTTCGTGTTTAATTGCCCCACCATCGAAGTAGATTCTTCTGATAGTTTAGTTCATTTTTTTATTTTACTTTTTCATTTTTGATATGTTTATAAAATTTGTATTCGCTAACTATTACTGTTAAATAAAAATAAAAATAATCAACTATATTAAAATTTCGGGCAGCTGCTCGCAGCTGCCTTCTATTTAATTTAAATCAATCACATATAATAAATATGAATTTACTGATATCTTAGTTTTTTTTAATGCACAATAGACTTTAAAAAAATTTTTTTTTATTTTTATAATTTTGCCTTTTCTTTAAGAAACAATACTTTTTAATATTAAAGGCTTTAAAGTTTTTTTTTAATATTTATATTAAATCGTATTTATTTATTATTAAAGAAAGATAATAACTTTAAAATTAAGCTACTTAAACTTCTAAAAAATGGATTTAGTTTGTTATTAATTATTTCTTTCCTTTCTTTTATGACAATACAATAAACTTGGATTTTCTTGGATGTGAAAACAGTTTCTTAAGGTAATTATTATGAAAGATGTTAGTTCTTTATTTGTAATAATATAATTAACATTCTTTTCTTTTTTTTTGTAATTGTAGTTTTGGATTTGAACTTATTGAACTTGGAAACAGTTTCTTGTAATAATTATTAAAGGAGGATGTTTGATCTTTATTTATAGGAACATAATTAACATTTCTTTTTTGTAACAGTAGACTTGGATTTGATTTAAAACAATTTTTTATAAAGAAGAGTATACTGTAAGTATAGAATAAGAGTTTTAGGGTAGTTATTAAAAAAAGGTATTAGTTCTTTATTTATAAAAACATGTTCTTTTCTTTTTTGTAATTGTAGACTTAAATTTGAAATTATTGGACTCAGAACAAGGAAAATGTTTGTTCTTTATTTATAGGAATGTAATTAACAGTCAGTGGAAATGTTCCCAAAAATTAGAGTGAGATTTTTTGTACTATGATATCTCAATATACTGTAAATTATTGTGACAGTATGGCTATATGGCATATAATATATATGTAAACTTAAGGTTGGCCAAAGTTGGTACAAATGGCTAAAATCGACAATTTTCAGATCTTAATTCTGCCCAAAATTTTCTTAATTCCGGCCAAATTCGTAATGCCAGCCCAAATTACATTAAAATCGAAATTTTCAGGTCAAATGTAACACCATATTTATGCAATGTAACATTTTTTCCAACAATAGTAAACATGTTCGTTTAAGGTTTGAAAAATATTTTTAAGAGACAGATCGTCATTCAACCAGAGAAAATGATCGACATTCTATAATTAATTTTATGGGCTTTGTAATTAATAAAAAAAAATTTTTTGGAATTTCTTGTTCTTTACTATAAATTTTTTTCCAATAAGTGAAAAAAAACAGTATACAATAACTTTCATGTCCAAAAAAAATATTTCATAAACTTGCACTATAGGTATATATATATAGTTTTAGTAGAAACTGTACAAGTTTAACAAAGAATGTGAATATTAAAAAGATTCAAATAAAACTAAATAAAGATTTAAAAACTAAATAAAAACCAAATATAGCTTAGTTACAGTGAAAAATGTTCAAAAATTTTTCATCCAATATTTAAATTAATAGGAAATTTACCGTCAGAATCTTGCGTTCCTACATAGAAAAGTCAAAGACGCAAAACTCTAGCGATTTCAAACTTTACAAGTGGCTTAGCTAGGATTGTCACTATTAATTACCGTCTTTAAATTTTGTGTATCATATCACATGATGATATGACAATCCGGTAAAAAAGGAGTATTAGCCATTTTTAGCGATAATTTGTGTAAATCGGCATTATTAAAATTCTTCGGTTGAGTGGCAATTTGTCCCTTAAACCTTTTAAAAGTCAAAAACTTCACTTTATTCGGTTGCATCTGGCCAAAGAAAGTAGTTAATTATATGGTTATTTTAATACAACTAAGGTTGCTTATCTAAACCTCTTCAAAATCCTACGATTAGTTTCGTCAAAATTTTACTATAGATTTATTATAGTTTTGGCAGAGTTTCGGCAGTTTCAGCATTTATAATAAGTTTCGGCAGTTTCATCTTTCTCTAAAGTTTTGCCAGTTTTTTAATATAACTTTAATATAGTTTCGGCAGAATTTCACTTTTCGGCGAAACGCCATCTTGCCTAAACCCCTAAGTTTCGGCAAGCAACCTTAAATACAACAAACTAATAAAAATTAAGAAAATTTATTTAACTTTATTCTTTTGCTTATTTTTTTTAAATATTCAATAAATATCTTTTATTTTGACGCTACTTTAGATACTTTTTATATATATAAAAAAATATTTTACTTATTCATATTATACTATTTGTATTTATGACTTAACAAAGTAAATAGACCTAATAGTCAATAAGAATTTTTCTATGAATAAATAATTTTTGTTTTATTTTCTTGTTAAATGAACTAAAATTAAAAATTTTAAAGTTTTTTTTAATGTTATAATAATTTACATGATTACTATAATATTAAGAATTAAGCATTAAATGTCTAATTTAAATAAACAAATAAAAACATAATATTTAACTATTTTTGCGATTATACCGCCCAAATAGACCCAATAATATTATTCTAATAAAAAAAAATTTTTTTTTATTAGCACTATAATTAAAAAATTCAACAAAATTTATAAATAACAAAAAATCTAGCTTAATAATCACCATTCTAAGCTTAACAAAAGTTGTTCATTTCACCAAATTATACCTAAAAATGAAATAATTGCTGGTTAAGAAAGCTTTTGTTAAGAGTTTTATTGAAATCAAGAAAAATTTTTTTTATTATAAAAATTGGTTTTTTGCGGTTTACACAAAATCTCCCTAAATAACTGCCCTTTTTAACTTAATAAATCTTTTTCTTCTTGTAAAATTACATATATTTGCGTTATTTAAATTGTATTTTATACACACCTTTAAGTTGCATTTTGAGGAAAACTTCATTTTTGAGACGAACTTTCTTGTAATATGTAAAGAAAAAAAAAATATTACTAAAGAGGAAATGATGACGAATATTTATAGTACACATGATGAACTATTAATTTACTTAATTTGTATAAGCATTGTATTAAAAATTTCTTTATTTAGCTATGTGGTGATATATTCAATTATGGTTACACAAAATTATTTTAATTAATGATCGGCAAGAGAAATGACATTTCTACTGACTGTTAATGATTTTTATTTTTTTTATAATAATAACAGATTCAAAAATTGTATTTTCGTTTAATAAAATTTGTTGAATGTATAATTTTAAACACAATAAAATACAATTTTTTAAATTAAAAAAAAAATTATATTCTTAAAAAATAAAAAACAAAAAAGTGAATTAATGTATATCAGATTGATATCTGATATGCAAATAATAAAAATTATTTATTTATTTATGAAGTTTCAAATTACCTAAAAAAAATTTTCAAAAAAAATATATTTATTTTTAAATTAAAAGTTTGTTCTTTAAGAAAAAAAAAAATATTTTCAAAAACTAATTTTAATTTTTTTTTTGATTTTGCAATTGATGCAGTAATTAATGATCTACTGTATATAGATGTTGATTATATAAAAATAAACTACTTTTTTTTTCTTTTTTTTTATTTTCTTTAAAAACAGTTATTTTTTATTACTAAAAACAATTTAACTAATTTTCTAAAGCATAAAAAAAATTTTATTTTTTTTTAATTAAAATATACCGTATATAGCGGACCACAGTACTCTGGGTATCTTGCAAAAATCGGGGGTTTGACCCTATACCCCCAGGTACTAAACAAAGCCTAAAAATTCTGTTTTTTGCGAATATTTCACGATCTACTAGTCCAATTTGAACGATCTTTTTTTATTTTGAAGAGCTCAATGAGAGCTATCAAACAAAAAAAAGATGGCTCAAATCTGATCACTAGATCACGAGATAATTGTAAAATATCCCCCCAGGTACTATACAATTCTATGAAATTTTTCAAGGGGGGTACTATGCATAGGGGGGTACTATGGCCCATGATATACAGTAAATCATTTAAAGTATTTACATATAACAATTTAAAATATCATTGAAATTAAAAAATTTGATTTATTAAAATAATTATTTAAGAGTGAATTTATTTACCGCACCCTGCGTTACAACGCATCCTTTCTTTTTTGTAAATTGTTTATGTCGATCTTTAGTTTATACACTGCACCCCCCTTAAAATGGCAAATGATAAACATAAAAATATATATAAATTTGTAACACAGGGTGCAGTAAATACATTATTTCATTATTTAATATGTAATTTTATTAATTTTATTATTACAGTATGTGAATGCAAACTTTTAATAAGTTATACATAATAAATTTATTAAAATAAAAAACTAATACTTTTCTTATTCAAATTCAGAAAATTCAAATTAAAATTTATTACTATAAAAAAATAAAGAACTAAATATCATATTTATTGAAATAATTCTTAAAATAAAGTTTAGGAAGTCCAAATCTAAATTTATTATTAATAAAAGAAGAGTAGAAATATTATTAATTATGAGTTATCATAATTTTATTTAAAAAATTCTATCAATTATTTTATTGCTATATGCAAAATAAATTTTTCTATTTAAAAACTGTTTAAATTCAAGCCTATTATTACAAAAAAAGAAATGTTAATTATATTCCTATAAATAAAAATTAAACATCCTCCTTCAATAATTATTACAAAAAACTGTTTTCAAATTCAATAAGTTTAAATCTAAATCTACAATTACATAAAAAAAGAAAAGAATATTAAGGGAAGTTACATATATTATGTAATATTCAGTTTAATATAAACTTACTCCCCCCCTCTTGTCAGATTTAATAACCAATCAAATTATAATATTTATAAATTATATATTTTATTAAGTGTAATGTAAGATTTTAGTTATCCACTCCTTCCCTTTGATAATTACGTAATATGTGTAAGCTCCCTAATTATATTTCTACAAATAAAGAACTAACATCTTTCATGATTACCTTAAGAAACTGTTTTTATTTTCAAGAAAATCCAAGTTTATTGTATTGTTATAAAAGAAAGAAAAGAAACAATTAATAACAAACTAAATCCATTTTTTAGAAGTCAATTTTAAAGTTATTGTCTTTCTTTAATAATAATAAATAAATACTATTTAATATAAATATTAAAAAAAAGCTTTAATGTTAAAAGCTATTGTTTTTTAAAGAAAAAGTAAAATTATAATGATAAAAAAATTTTTTTAAAAGTCTATTGTGCATTAAAAAAAACTAAGATATCAGTAAATTCATATTTATTATATATAATTGGTTCAAAATTAAATAGAAGGCAGCTGCGGGTAGCTGCCTGAAATTTTAATATTGATTATGACTAACTAGAGGGGTTTTGGTCCGATCTTTCAGCCTTTTATAAGTCATGATCGGCGGTTGACGGCAAAAGTATCGGACTTGACCCGCGACGCGGTGCTAACTTGACCCTCCTGCATGCACGTTGTCGATCCTATACATGGAGTATTGTAAAATATATGTGATCGACAACGTGCACGCAGCGGGTCAAGATGACACCCCAGATGGGTCAAGTCCGATACTTTTGCGCCTTTACGAGGTGGTGTGGTAAGATCATTCCAAAAATATAACAATTTTTGCCCAATCAAATTCAAGGCCCAGGATAAGCATCTGGACCGTGGTTCAGGATAAGGATGCTCATTTTTTGGGGGTGATTCATTTCTCAAGCTAAGCGGATGGGATTTTAAGGAATATGGAATGTCATTGAGACATAGTCAAAATGTCACGGGTTTTCATATTTAGAATTAACATTTATAAATCATCAAATAAATTTTTCGTAAACGCAAAAAAATCTTATTTTTTAATAGTTTAATATACAAGGTGTACATGATTACTATTAGTATGAACCCTTTGGTAACCCGCGCGTGCGTTTGTCATTGCATCATCTCATTTGTTGGAGTTGTTGGTTCACATCAATCATCGGTTTTCGATATCTAAAATTTCTGACACGTCAAATGGGAAATAATCCATTTTTGGCATTTTTTTAGCCCCTGGATTTTTGATATAATAATCTTCATCGCTATAATATGGCCGTTTTTTGATTACATTATCAATCGAGGCATCGCCAATACCGTAAAGAACATTTTTCAACCTATTTTTTTCCCAAAAGTTGGGATTTGCATCTCCGGTAATGGCAAATGATGCCCGAGAGGAAAAAACGGGTCCAAAGTGTTTTTTAAAATCCTCTTTTGAAATTACCAAAACACCTGATACATGCTTTTCCTTCTTATATGGTTGCGAAGTAAAAATAATTGTAATAAGAATATAATTATCATCATCATCATCAACAGCAGTATAAAAACTCTTTGGATTTTTCTCATCTTCTTCTTCAACTTTACTTTCGGGCATCTTTATTGAAACGTAATCCCATTTGCACTGGTTCGACATTAGGAATTTTTTAAATTCAATATGCACAAGTTTTCTGACAAGAAACACGTCAGCAAACGGAGCACTACTACCATTGATAACTACTACATTACCATTCTGCCAGTCTATTATTTTACCATCATGTTTTTCTGTTAATGGATTAGTGTG